GACCTCTTTACATGGTGGTTCAGCTAAAACCCATTTAGTGCTTTTTTAACAATGTTAATTACAAGTATATTTACAGTTATAATTGAAGATGTTGACTTGACAGTTTAAAATGATCATATTTGTGCCTCTCAACTGATCATAATTCAAAATAAGGCCCGTTTTAATGTTCCATAGGGATTTTAAATAAACATTTACCAGATTTAAAAAACAAGATATTAAGATGTATTTGTATAAGATGTAATTAAAACCCAAAATATGTCCAGATATGTTTTTTACATTCACAAGCTTTTACGTTTGTGCAAAGATGAGTCACACGACTGCATGCTGTGCTTTCAGATGTTCTGATTGGTCAGGTATAATGGAACCACATCAGGGTTTTCAGGAGAATTGAAAATTACACTAATTATTAATCATGTAAATGTCAAAACAATTTTCTAGAATTACATTTTACAGCCGTTCACTCTCACAACAGTGAAAACAATAAGCAGAGATTCTCATCTTTCAATAATCCCCCATAGCAATAAACTACAAGACAATTAAGAAAAACAACTAACAGTTAAATGAGACAAGATTAAATACTGAATAAAAACCCACATCAAATAGCATGATATGATGTAAAACAGGACATAAAAGAAATTAACTGTTGAGTACCTACCAGACAATTCCCTGAGCTCCGGAGCCAATGGGCTTTAAATTCTGATAACGTTTTAAAACTGTGAAGGTGGAGTCTCCCACTTCCACACTGTAGAACTGGTTGTCCACTTTGCTTTTGCTCATGTTGTAATGTTTGGCAATATATGACACATCCACTTGTTTTCCAAAACCCTGCATGAAGTAAACACAGAAGAAAAACTCTGTTAGTGATGATGAAAGCGATTTATGTGTTTACTTACCTGGCAAGTGATAAAACATCTGGAAGATTATATTAATGTATATATATATACATATATAATATATATTAAAGATCCAGTGTGTAACATTTAGGAGGATCAACTGGCAGAAATGGAGTATGATATTCACAGGTATGTTTTCATTAATGTATAATCACCTGAATATAGGATCAGTTGTTTTTTCATTATTTTATTAGGAGCCATTTTTATATACAGAAGCAGTGGGTCTCCTCCTATGTAACCCACCATGTTGAACTGCCATGTTTCTACAGTAGCCCAGAACAGACAAACCAAACACTGGCATTCCCAGGTCGTCAGACACGAGCAGTGTTCAACTTTCCTGCTAGATGCCACCACACTGGTCCTTTAAGTAATTAATATTAAACCATTAGCCATCAATACATTACTTAACCAATCAACAGTCAATATGTAATATTTAGCTGCTACTGTATTATTCACTGTCTGCATTTAATATGAGTCCATATTGGTGCTTTGTGTGTGTTAGGGAATAATTGGTAAAACTGGAAAGGTAGCAGGACAGGACATACAGTACAGTTGAGTTTACACTGTCTCCATGCAGAAATGTAAACTCTATAATAGCCATGTAATGACATTAGTGCCACTAATGTCTTTACTGTATTAACTAGACTAAAGACATCTTTTATGAACGTGCACACAATAATCAGGCTATAATTACTTGGGCAAGCAGTCGAACAAATGGTGCCACAACAAAAATATCAGTTAATTACAGACGGGGTAATTACAACACAGCTCACAGACCAAACAAAGCTGTGTATTACTGAGGGGCACAAGTTTGAAACACTTCCACCAAACAAGATGGAAGATATATATTTGATGTAATACATTAAATCATACATTACTTGCAAGTCATGCAAACCTATGATCTAATAATTTCAATATATTGAACTGCAGCCTGTATACAGCAGACATCCCGTGCAAAGCGTCTTAATAATGTGAGCTACAGTGGAATAGCCTGTAGCAAACTACACAATCTTCACTCACACACTTGTGATATAGACTGCACTGTTTATGAAATTACATCCCCACAGGAGTTTTGCATATATTTTACATTGACACTTTTACAACTGAGGAAGAGGTTTCAGTTTTGAAGTCACTTCACTGTTTTGTCTAGTACTGAACTTAATGGAAAATCAGGTCTACCTGAATTATTTTATTCGTGCAATTTTTTGGCTTTGCATGTAATTAATTATCAACACAAGGCTGTAAACTCTTTACCTTCTGAAAAAACACCTTTTTAATCAGGATATTTACACCTAGCTCCTAATCACAAGTGGAAACCATATTGTATTTCACATTTAAAATTTAACATGCTCCATTTTATCTTTATTCTTAAGTGAATAGTTAGAACAGTTAGTTAAACTGTTCTTCAGGTATATCACTATTACACACAGAAACACAACAATACCACAACATATAGAGCAATGAAGGGGAAGTGGAAGTGAATGAATACTGTACCTTTTTTACCTGTATGGAACACACACCTGACAAAAGGCTATCTTCACATCCAGGATTGGTTGGCTGCAGTTATATAAGAAATGTCTGCTCATAAATACCTGCAAGACACAAACAGAGAAGAGCCAAGAGTCAGAGTGTGTGTGGTGTGCACATGAGTTCAGCGATTTATTACGTGTATGATGTGAAATGAACTGACCCCAAAACATATAAAGTGTAGTGGTAATGTACATTCATCTACATCAGGATTTATACAGTAGCACTTGCAATGCATTAGATATAATAGACAATATAGCAGTTTAATTTATCATGGCCTTTTTGAGTACAGAATTCTTCAACATGAGATGGAATAGTTGTTTTACACCTCTGCTGGTGTGGACTGAAATATTCACTGCTGTTCTCTCCACTCTGTCCCCATCATTCTCAATAAAAGTGAGAAAAACAACAAGTCACCACTACCCCTCTATATACAAGAATTGGCCAATATATTGATTCTTCATCAGAGTACAATATAGTGTGGCAACAATGACCGATGTCTTTGTGTTTCAAGGTGCTGGAATGACTTGGGATGAAAAAAATGATCCGAATAGCTGGTGCTATCAGGAGTGAAAGATAATAGGTTTGTTGATGACTTCCTGGCAAGCTGAAGACTAATATTACACTCAGGAATAGTATGACATTTTGGGAAACACACTTTCTTTCTTGCTGACACTTACATGAGAAGATTGCCAATTTCACTTTCCACTTTCATGTCGGTATGTTAAATTAGAAGCTACGAGTTAGCTTAGCTTAGCATAAAGACGGGAATCAGGGGAAACAACTAGCCTGGCTCTGTCAAAGCTAACATTATCCACCTACAAGCTCGTCATTAACATGCTATATCTTCTTTGTTTAATTTGTAAAACAAAGTGACATGTTGTGGGTTTACAAAGGGTTCTATGTCAGACTATTTCTGTTTCATATTGACAGAGTAGAGCCTCCGGGAAGTGACTTGATTAAACAAAGTAGATATAATATATTAAAGAGTGAGCTTTCAAGGTGTTGGTAGGCAATTTCAGATCACGTCTTTATGCTAAGCTAAGCCAACCCAGCTGCTGGCTGTAGCTTTACATTTAACATACATACATGAGAATGGTATCAATCTTCTCATCTAAATTTTTAGCATGTAAGCCAATAGGTTTATTTCATAAAATGTCAAATAAGTCCTATAAAAAAGTGAAAGCTTTAATATTTATCCACTTGAAAGTGTGCATTTATGTCCTCAATGTCTATTGATTACTCAAAGTAATGAAATCTATGTCATATGAGTTGTGCAACTACATTAAAATACAGTAAACCACCAAAATAATAAACATTTTTTCTGGGGACACTGAGGAGATAATGCATGCACAGTTTCACAGGGTTATCAAACATGAAACTCGCTTTACAAGAGCTTGTACCATCAGGCATTGCATTTGCATAAAAGTAGTGTAGACATTTTTGGCAAAGTTTTGGGTTGTTTACTTTGTAAAAGTAGCAGCTAATGGGTCAGATTGGTTTAAATATAGATTTGCATGTTTTCTGGAACTTTTTGTTGGCAGATCTGTTCAAAACATTGCAAGGGAGGAATAAAGAGGAAAGAAAGCTCTGAATGATATGGCTCCCACATTAAGCAGGAGCGAGAGCTGTAGCTATCGCCCACAATGACTCTGACTTCAAGGGTTTTCCAGGTAATGATGCTCCCAACGTATGAATGTTCATGTCTTCTGAATAAATTGATATGTGACGTTAATGTTGGCATTGAAACTAATAGAAAAAACATTTCTGCAACAATTGTACCCGAATGGTTTGTTCTGTCCTCATGTTTCACAAAATCGAGTAATTCTAGTTTCTGGACACAAATGTAGCTCCACCAGCCCTCCAATAATGTCACAGTCAAGGCTTTAGTGTCTCTGTTAAATCCTAAGGGAGCAAGGCAGTGTTAAAAAAGAGATGTGGGACATAGAGGCGTGAGATTTCTGGTTTGCCCTATTTAGCTTGACCTTTTACTTTAGACCCATGCAGTGTGACAGTACAAAGTGATGGCTGACATTCTTACTGTCTGCATTAACCACCGGATGTGCTGCATTTGTATGAGCCATATGTTATAGCAGTGTGTGCCCTCAAATGCAAAATTATGAACTGATTCACTACCCGCATTACTGGGGGAATCAGAATAATCATTCATTGAGTGAAATGAGAATAAAGTGGAATAAAAACATGAGAAGGATAATAAATTAGGGAGTGAGAAATAATGCATAAGGAAAGGTACGGTTATGAAGAAAGAGGGATTTAGACGTAATTTCTGCGCAGTTGCATTCCCTTAAACCGCTACACAAATTTCACATCACAGCTGTATGTTTGACATGACTAACATCACTGCTACCACATTAACCGTCACAATATTTGTTATTAATCTAACAGGTCAACACTGAATAAGCACCGCCACCTAGCTATCGATATCAGTGCCACTTTAGCCATCTGTGTACATAAGATATTAAACCTCTCACACGGCCAATCTTTTCCTCCCAGCAATAAATCAAACACCACCTGGATCATCTCTGAAGATGACAATAGGCTGTGTGGGCAAATGTACAAAGCTTACTAGTTAGCGCTATTTTGTGGATATTGTGGTGTTCTGTTTATTTTGCAATATAATCAAATTATATAAGACAACAAGTGGTCATACTGCTGCTAAAATGTGAGCTGTTCATTAAATGGCTGTTTTCTGATGAGCTGCATTTTGATACAAGGATTAGCAACAAGCCTCCCACCACCATCAGGACAGATATATGGCAACTACATATTGGTTTGGTAAGAAAGATAGAAAAACACTGATGAAGAGAAAAGAAAAACAGAATCATGATGTTATAGCTTTTAATTTCTGTGCTGAAAAACCAACTCATGATAATGCAGATGTGAGTCTTTTTATATTACCCTGATGGATTGTCTAAGATGTGATGTCAACCCTGTCGATGTCTGACCCAAAGATTTGGAGCAGAACCATAAAAATATGCAGCATCTTAACTGGATAAAGACTAAAAACAATTTACCTTGGAGCTGTCATTTTTGGAACATGTGCAGCTTAGCAATAATGAGGTACGAAGTTGCATAGCTTTCATAACGTGAAGAAAAAAATGCTTTGTGTAATTATCAGGAACAGATAATCATGAAGATGCGGTGAAAACGACAAATCAAGTCACCCTACAGCTATTTATCCCCTTTGTGAAGCCGACAGCAAGTGAAACAGCAGATTCTGTGCATGTCTGTTTAACCCTCTGACCAGATTCTGCTGATTGTGGTCATGGTTGAAATGCTGCTCTGGTTGCAGCTAAGAATACACTCAGCACCAGCCCAAATGTCCATATATCATTCTGACTACAATATGTTTCAACAGTGCAAGCCAATTCTAGGTGATTGAGAAGTTGAATAAGCAAAAAAAATGGAAGACATTTGAATTTCCCTTTTCTGCTCCAGCCTATTAAGAAGACAGTAGGGGAGAGTGGGGAGATCAACGCATATACAAATATATCAATAAATATTGTACTGAATACAATTCATTTTTTATTTTCCAATAAACTTTACAAAAAACACCTTAATATACAAGATATGGATATGTTTTGTTATGTTTTTAACCACGTTTCAGCTGTGCATGCCTTGTCCTGCCAATAAGACAGTGATGGAGTGTCAACTGCGAGTTAAGTGTTTAGTGATGAGGATCAGTTAGTACCAGGAGGGTGTGGTGTTTGCTCGTAAGACAGCCTCAGAGTAAAACTGATCAACTTTAACAACAAAACTTGATCAATTTTAAGTTAATGACAAGCGATAAAAGCTCTGACGGTTTGGTCGGAACTCAAATAGGGTTGAGTTTCGATATCATGAACATTGAGAAAATGGTAGCATCATCGTCTGCAAAATAAAAGACGAGAATCAGTGGAAACGTATTACATAACTTTTGCATGATATAAGCATCAACCACTATTTTCTTAAAGTTTTCCCTTCTGTATAATACTGCTCTTCAAGCTTTCTCAACAGTGTTGCTTAGCGTTGCATCAGAGTTTGGAAAGCAACAGTGCTTCTGCCCGATGTACAGGAGATCTGGACGCCTTGCAGTATAGATTAAATAAAATTGCCAATTTGTAGCAGTCAGTAAAATGTTAGCAGTGCTGGCATATCCTTGACTGTTGATGTCTGATGGTGTATTTTGAATTTCTACCAGCCTGTGATCTCAAATTAAAACGGGTTTATGAGACAACTCTGAGCTTGTGAAACAGACCATAGTCTCTGTCTCTCTCTCGCAAACACGTTCAGACACAAATGTATTGCACAATTACAAAAGCCCAGGTCAGTTATTAAATGTTATTAAGAAAAAATGAAAGAAAAGAAAGAAAGAAAGAGAGAAAGAAAGAAAGAAAAAGACAGACAAATCAGAGAGGAGGTTTTAATTATCTTGAATGGGCTAATGCACATTACTGATACAGCAGACCATTAATCTCCAGTGCTGGCCTTGCTGATGCTGGATTGTGCTGGTGTGTGTGCATGTGTGTGTGCTCTGCAGTTGTGGCTGGTCCTTGGTATTTGTATCCTGGGCATTCTGTTACATCCGCCCTCATGGGCACAACAATGCCTCAGGCAAACCAATGATCACTGCGGACTCGGGAGGAAGTGTCCCGTTGTATATCAGTAGCTCTCAATCCCGGCATGATCGACGGTAGGATACTTTTGTTTTTTCTGTTTTACCTGCTTGTTTATCAAGGTGCATATCAGCCTCTGATTGGATGACTGATGGACCAGGACTGAGAGCAACTCCTATAAAAAAGTTGATGATGATGGTGTGAATCAAATGTAATTAAACTCTTCTGGCCCAACGCACTAGTTTCCCAAACATCTTGTAGTCTATGCTGCCAGATAAAAAGCTTAAATTAGCTACTTTTGTTAGATATTTGTAGCAGTTCATTAAAAAGTGAAACCAGACACAAACAAACAGTGTACAGCTCCTATAAAACTAACTAAATCGAATGTTAATATTGGATTTTATCTAGATGTAACCACCAGCGATGGCCTCGCAGCCATGATG